TTCCATAGCTCAAACTTAGACTGCACAGTGGTAAACTGAAGATTGTCAATCGGCTAGCGGAGGTCGCTGATGGTGGCAAGCAGTAACAATCGGCGTAGGTGACTGGTTGTGGCTAACTGTTGTGCTAACTGGCAGGCAACAACCGACTGCAAGGGTGGAGGTGGGAGTAGGGCGGTTGTGATCAATTGTGGGTGTGGCAACAATCATCGATGGGGAAGGTGGCAAGCGGCGGGGGGGCGACGGGAATTTACGACATGGGGAAATGCTGGCCTTTTTATTGAGAAGGAAGGGAGGTGAAAGGGCTTTTGCTACCGTCGATTAATTTGAGGAAATTCCGATGATGGGTAGATGAACTCGGATCTGAGCGAGTCAGTGATGAGTCGGAGAATGTGAGTTTTCGGAGGATGGTTGTGAGAGTCCGGTGAGAGCTGGGGGAAGAGGGAAACAGAAGGTGCCGAAGAAGACGTCCATCGTGGAGCTCTTTGCGGTGGCGCCTCAGATCAAGATGGTTGAAGAAGAAGAGAACGGGGAGGATGAAGAGGATGATGATCTCGGAGATAGGAAATGGGGAGAAGTACTGGAAAGAGGAGAAGCAGTGGATGGAGAAGTAAAAGAAAGAAGTAGCAGGGGACATGCGGTATTTAAAAGAAAACAATTAGTTCGGTTGCAGCGATTTAGAAAACAAAAGAGAAGGAAGAAGATTATTGCATCTAAAAAGGTTTGTCATTCGAACTCATTTACTAGTTTTCATCTCCATTTGCTGATTTCCTATAGTGTGAAAGTAGTGGGAGAAACAAGAGAAATGGCTTTGGCGTCTACTTCGCCTGGACTACTACGGCTATAGATTTATTTCATGGCGGGGAGATCATTTGTCAGCATGGTACAGAGATAGTGGTAGTTTTGATTCCTTATTAGTGGAAAGGTTGCTTAAAAGGGAACTTTTTTTCTCATGGCTCATTGTTGGTCATGCAAAAGCTTTAAAAGGGTGCAAACTAATAAATTTGCATTGGCCAAGGTGGACACTCATCAAATGTAAATCCGATGATATTTAAGGATTATCGTCGGATTTGCATCTGATTTACGCACGATAATTTCCGAGGGTAATTCAAGAGTTTATAATGTTAATTTCGTCAAAATTGCATTGAAACATTCCAACACAAATAATTAGAGTTGAGTTTTGTGTCTTCTAGCGTCGAACTATACGTGCGTCAAATTTTGTGTAATGCTGTTGAATTTGCGGCGGGTATTATCGATGAGCTATTTGTCGTATTTTTGGATGTAAAACATACATAAATTCGATACATAACTAATATATAAAAAAATTTTAAATATCAATTATATTCCATAACCTACACACAACATTCAATTCATATCACAAAAAAACATTATATTCAGTCATATCACAGATCAAAGCTCTTAGAAACATCAACATCGAAAAACTAAATAGTGTCACAAATCTAAATT